CATGGTAGAAAGAGACTGATAGAGCTCTCTGGAGTCACAGACTCCAATAATGGCACAGACCCTATTTAGCAGGGCTCCACCCTCATGACCTAATCACCTCCAAAGGCCACAACTTCTAATACCATCATATTGAGGGTTAAGATTTCAAGATAGGAATTTTGAGAGGACACAAACATTCAGTCCATTGCAGGCCCTAAATAAAATCACATGTATCAAGATGGGCAGGGGAGTTTGGAGACAGATGTCCAGAAGAAGAAGAGGAAGGAATGAGGAAGCAGAGATTGAAGCAATGCAGCCACAAGCAAAGAAACATCTGCAAACACTGAAGGAAGTAAAAAGAAAGCCGAGGCTGAAAGAGGCAAGAAAAAGATTCTCCCCTAGAGTGTCTGAAGGGAGTGTAGCACTGCCAATACTTTGATTTCAGACTTCTGGACTCCAGAAACTGGAGCAAATGAATTTCTGTTGTTTTAATCCACCTAGCTTGTGTTAATGTACTACAGCCATCCTAGGAAACTAAAACAAGTATGCATGGAGGTTTTTCCTCAAGACTCATGAAAAACCACAGGCTCCTGAAGGAGTCATGAACCTGTCATTTGGACAATCTCTATGCTGTGGCCACCACCAACAGTAACACCCTTCTCCTGTAAAGGGTGTCTGCAGGTAATGAGGCAAACTCCAGTCACTCCTCTTTCAGGATTCATGGGGTCACCTTTTCATGGAGAATGAAGAATGTCTTGAACTCATGAGCAACAGAATTCTGTCATTCCTGGAGGCCCCTGAAAGGCTGATTCTTCTCTGTGTCCTTTGATATATTTGTCCCACTCCTGTCTGCTCTAAGACGTGGTCTTTTTTAGTGCTGGCCCCTTAAACTCTGCAGCTGTGGATGTCCATGCCCAATTCTAAGTCTTTCGTAACAGCATCCTTATCAACTACACGCACCAAGAGTCTGTTTCCCATTCTTGTCTGCAATCAGTTTATTCCAACCTCCCTCCCACCAAGAGTGGCTTCTCTCCCCACATTTGTTAACCCAGGATCTCAGTGGGTCTCTCTGCTCCTATCCATGATGTGGTCTGTGTCAGAAGTCTCAGCTGGAGAGTGGCCATGGGAAGAATGACAGGAAGTACTCATGAATGATGAGATAACTTGTGGAGTGGGGCTGGAAATGGATATATGAGCCCTGTCCCACACACACACATTCACAACCACACACACACACACCCCTCCCACACTACGTTTGGCAGATAGATAGTCCAGTTGAAGCTTCTTGCATAATATTAAGCTCCCCTTCCTGCTTCTGACCCCTCACATTAGAAGGAATATTTTAGAATGCAACCACTAGCAGCAGAGGCAAGGCACAATTTCCAGTACATCCCAAAGCTGACACCCAGGCAATGACGCTGTGGAGAGTGGAGTATCCTGCCTCTGGGTGCTGAGCTCCCTGACGCTGTCAGCATGCAGGAGGTTCAGGAGCATCTTCTACGTGACAGCTACAGAGCAGTGGATGTTTCTACTTGGCAAAATTAAAGACAATTTTATTTCAATCAAAATCTTACATGGAACACAAATACACAGAAGAGGTTAAAGAACAATTTTATCAAAAAGTAATTGTTTAATTCAAATTTATTCCCTTACATGAGACAGAGTGCTCTAATAAACATAAAAGTTTTGAAAATCCAGTCATTGATGATAACTATAGTCTCATGTAAACCCCAGAATTCAGTTTACCTTTTCATATCGAGTTTGGGTTGCGTTAGAATACTGAGTGACGTGCATATATGCTTACAAATGACAGCCAGGTACAATGTGCACTCTGCCATCTTCTTAGTACAACTATGCATTTAGACTCGTCATAGGCCACACTTAGTCCTGGATTTAGAAGGATAGAAAGATAGGAAAAGGAACACAGCCTGCCATCAGGACAGCACCAAACATTGTTCTGCAGTGACAGGAGGCCTGACAGGAGTCACACAGCAGTCTAGGGGCTGCTCTCTGCCCCTCCAGGGAGACTTCAGGTGTGACCGAGTTAGAACTACACAAGTAGGTACAGTAATGGGTGAGAACTGACCCTGGCTTGAAAGCCCCTTATTCCTGATAGGAGCCAATATATGTTATGACAATAGCTCCATAGGCAAAGTTTCCAGGTCTCCACAAGGGACATATGTGACACAAGAAGCACCGCACTTCAGAAAGTCCAAAACTGTGGTTCAGAAACTGATATTTTTATTCCATTCTGTCCTCCCAGTTTGAAGTAGTTCATGATCCGATCACAGGTCATTTTTGTAAGCAATATTGCTCATTAACACTGCTGGATTTCCACCCTGATCAGGGTTCCAGGCAAACAGAACTAGAAAGTTAACCCAAGGTCAAATTTCATAAATGGGAGAAAGGGTTTTGCTAACACTTTATTCACACAGTGTCATTTCCAAAACTCTTCTGTATCAAGCTATTCTACAAAAGAAGAATCCAAGCTTACAATAAATTGAAAATGACATATGACACAATATAAACATGCTTCTAATGTTATGGTTTCACTTGACTATTAGGATCATGACAAATACAGGCACTGGCAAGCATGGAATGGACTTTCCACAACCTTGTGTAGTATTTAAGTGAGCTCAGCCTGAGTTCATAGTACTGAACTGACTTGAACCACAGATAGGGAATGGAATTTACCATGCTGAATTTATAAAGTCACCAGTGTAATGATGAACTTTCTGGTACCCTTTTTTGAAAATTGAAATGCACGGATAAATCTGTGGGGACAGTTTTGTTCTCCTCACCTCATTTCTTTCTGGAACCAGACAACAGTACTTCTTGAACTTCCTAGGACCATGTAACCCTTGAGCCAATCATCGTGTCACTGCCCCTCACTATCCTCTTGTCCTCACTTTCCTCCTGCACACTTAGGTGGCAAGGCTAATTATTATAATCACTCTTTTGCAATTTCCACTTCCTTTAATAATTCCCTTCCTCTTTTAAGTGTCTTGGGGGACAACAATTTCAACCATGTCAAAATTCTACTCTCCATTTACTCTTTACCCGCGCCTGCAAAGCTGACCTTGGTTGTAGAAAAATATACAATCATGATGCCTCTCTCCCTGTAAATTAATGACTTCTAACATCAAGTAACCCCAAGTGCCACCCAGTAATCCTGCTGCATTTTCTCTCCCTTACTCTGCCATGCCTCCAGATACTAACTAACTTTAAACCTTATCCTCTTTTCTTAAGCCTGCCACACTTTCCAGTCTTTACTCTTGCCTAAAGATCTTGCTTTTTACTTCGCTGCAAAATCGAAAATGATCAGAAAATAACTTCCTTTCTCACAACCAAATGTCCCAATGTGCCTCCATCAGTGACCACAAACTCTGGCCTCCCTCCTCTTATCATGGATGAACTGTCTGTGTTCTCCTCTAAGGCCAAACAAGTTACTTATGTTCTCAACCTCACCCTCCTCTCAGTGACTCAAGGATATCTCTCCAGCAAGTAACCCAATTTGCTTTACTGGTTTTCTTTCTCTATTTCATCCTTCTCAGCTGGATGCAGACATGGTATAAGATATCTCATCCGAAAAATAATTTACCCTCCACCCAGTACCTCTTCAGCTATCCTCCATTTCTATGATCGCTGTCCCCAAAGAGCAAAACCCCCTGAGTGGTATCTTCTCATACACTATGGCAGAAATGGGGCTTCATTTCCAGCACCATTTCCTTTCCTTGGGAGCACAGGAAGCAGTATTTCCCAGAATCCCTTGCAGTTGGGTTGGGTTGGGAGCAAGTGATCTGGCTATAGAAATGCAAATGTGAGCAAAAGTGATGTAACACATTCAATCCATGGTGCTTAGGTATCTCTAGTGCCTAATCCTTCCTTTTTTATCTCCCTCCTGAGTGTAAGAACCACATGTGTGAAAGCGGAACTATCAGATAGGTTTGCCCTAGCAGGATCTGTGGAGGAGAAAAAGTCATAGAGAAAGGCTTTTCATCAGTCATGGATCTAAAAGCACGCTCAGTAATGGTGGACTTCAGACAGAGATAGAGAGATCCCAGATAAGCCATCCTGGGATGCAGGATGCAGTTCAATTTTGATTTTCCTTAGATTCTATCCCCATGAATCCCTCCCCTCCTCACCCTTTTAGCTTTGATGATGCTTCTTTTGTTCTGAGAATGCTTGGCTGCCTGCTCCATTCCTACTCATCAGTAGAAGCTTGTCTTAGTGTTTCATTTTCAAGGACTTCTTGATATAAACTACTGTCTGAAGGACATTCTGTTCCTAAGTGGGACAGGCGCAGAGCCTGGGCTGCCATGACTCAGTTATTCCTGAGAACTACAAGTGAGAAAGGCTGGAAAATTGGGTCAGTTCAAGGTCTCTAAAAGAACCATCCTGCAGCTATCAGGAGGTATGTCTGTCTGTCTCTTAAGTAGAGAAGGCAGAAATTAAAAATTAAAAAGGATTGGAACAACAAAGATATAGAGGAAAATAATTTTGGAACCTACCTTTGTTAAATCTGTAGAAAGATGTAGAGAAGAGGAGCTGGTAACAGCCATGTCTGGACTCCCAGTCACCCTATTACCACAATCTGTTACCCCGACCCATCACCTCACATAAGAAGCCAAGTTCATGCTAGCCTAGAAGCCCATTTCCTCCAAGAAAATTTCCATCAAGGCCAGCCAGGTGGCTCAGCCCAGACTGAAGCACGGAGGATGTGCAGTGTGACAAAGCACAGACTGAGATGATCATGCAGAAAAGATTTTGTATAAGAAGGCTGGGGGCCACCCTTGTAGCCTTGTTTTTATAATACTTTCCTGTGTCAAAAAAATTAATGAAGTTAATTTAGAATGAGAAATGATAGATAATGCCTATAGTTATCTCCAAGAAGATTGCTGCAAAGACTAAGAGGATCACAGATCTTTCTTCTGGAATGTTCCTGTTCCTATCTGTAGGATGAATGAGTGAATGAGTGAATCAGTGACTCAGACAAAGCCACTGTTGCATAACTGTATGCATGCACAGTGAACTCTGCAGACTCTGTGGATGGTTCCTGTAAATACAGCTTAAAACCGCAGTGGAAAAGCCACATGCTCCTGATACACTTGTGGGGACATAAAGGGAAACCCACACACCCAAGGAGGCGGACTCTGGCCATGCAAGGCTGAAGGCCCAGTGTACTGATATGGAAACTGAAGCTCAGAGAGAAGAGGCGATGTTGCTTTCTTAACCACTGGATTTGCAGTGCTGTGGTTCTCAGGAGAGGCCAGGACAGGTTAACCTACTCGCTTGGGAGGCAGGTACCCACATTTCTCTCTAGCTGTTACCTCTAACCCTTAGTTCCACCAGTCAAAGAAGATATTTTGTTTTGCCGTGTCCTTTGCTAAAGTGGTGGTACTTGTTTACTTTCTCTCTGACAGAAAATGGCAGTTCTGGTTGCTCCCTCCTCCTGCCAATTCCTGTTGTTTTTAGTCATTTTAATTTTAGCCTTCTTCTTGAAGGTGTGAGTGGTATCTCAGCATGATTTCCTATTTCTCTCACGAAAAATGATGCCAAATGCTTTAGAGTTTCTTCTTCAAACTTTTATGTTTCTTCCTTTGTACATTTTCTATTCAAGTCCTATGCCTACTTTAAAAAATTTCTTTACAATTTTATTGATAAGTTGTAAGCATTTCTATATAAACTAGAGGCAAGGTTTTTTCAGTTGAACGTTATGAATATTTTTGAATAGTACCCTCATTTTATCACTGGTGTCTTTTGAGGAACAGAGTTTTCATGTTTGATGAAAAGTAATCTATACTTTTTTTTCTTTTTTCATTAGCATTTTAATTTGCTACCAAAACATTCTTGACTACTCCTATTTCATGAAGCTATTCTTCTGTTTTCTTGTAAATGACTCAGCATTTCACATTTTGACTTAGCTTTTACATTTCTTGAGTTAGCTTTTACATTATGCTCTTATATTAATAGTGAGTTAACTTGCATTGATGGTGTGTGGCAGTATTCAATACAGATTTTCTCTTTTAATAAATCTACAGTGATTTAAGCAATATTTGTTCAAAAGTCTTTCCAGTCTCCATTAAAGATCATTTATATCTATATGGAAGTTTAAAAGACCACTTATATGTACAAATGTATGTATGAATTATCTATTCTATTCCATCGGTTTATTGATGCATTCCATTCCAATTCAACACTGTTTTAATTGCTGTGCCTTATAGTTTGTCTTGAAAATACGAAGTATAATTCCTCAGATAATACACGCTATATCAATTGTAGAATAAGCTGGATATTTTCTCTAGAATTTTGATTAAAATGGAGTTGACTCTAGAGATCATGGTGTTGAGAATTGACATTGTATAATACTGATTCATCTATGTTCCAATGAACTGTTGCTAAAAGTATAGAAATAAAAATGAATGTGTATATTCCCCTTAAATGTAAAACCATGCTAATCACATTCATTAGTTCCACAGGTCTAAAAATACATTCATTTAAATGTTTTCATATCAATTCATGTCTTTGGTAAATAAGGAAGTGCTACTATTTTCTTCGCAACATTCTGCCTGTTTTCTCTTTTGTTTGCCATGTTGCATTTGCTAAATATTCTATCTAAAGTTGAAGAGAATGATGAGAGCTGATATTCTTGCCTTGTTCTCGATCACAGGGAAAAATGATTTCCACGTCTCACACATTATATTAGGTTAATTTTCTTCATTGATGTACCTTATCATGTGGAGAAAATTCCCATCTATTTCAAATTTGCTGGGATTTTTAAACAAAATAAATAGGTGATGAAATTTGTGAATTAATGTTTCAAATGTATTGAAGTGACACAACTATGTCTCCCTGATTTAATTATTCCATTGTGCATTTCAAAGTTACACACTGAAGTATGAACTTGCAATTCTGAATAAATGTCACTTGGCCATGATGTCCTATATTTGTCATACGTTATTGGTTTGACATGTTTATATTTTATAATCAATTTTGTGAGCAAGATGATAGGCTATATTCATCTGTCATTTTATTGTGGACACTGTTTTCTATTATGGGTAGCAGAGTATTGCTGGTATCTCACAATTTCACATCAAGTGTTTCTTCTTCCTGTATGTTCTGATGGAGTTTCCATAAGTTTGTTTCTTCCTTGGAGTTGATAGAATTCACCAAGAAAGCCATTTGAACTTGAGATGGACTCTATGTGAGTAAGTTCATTTTGTCATACAAATGTGGGACTTTTCAGATTTTCTGTTTGAGCCTGTGTCATTGTGGTGAAGTTCAATATTCACTGAGCATCAGGGCTTGCCCTTGTCTGAAAAGCTGCACACTTAGAGACCACATCTCCAGCAGTTCCTCTTCCTTCACACATTTGTCCTCCAGAATCTGCCTGATTTAGTTGACTCTTCAGCACATTCTATGAGGTGCTTTCTCAGAAATCATTTGCCCATACTGAATCATTGGTGTCTGTGGGAAGGTGACACTGATCAGCCTCCTCCACAACGACCAGAAGGTGGAACTCCCCAGCACCCCATGGCAGAGAAAGGAAAAGGCCCCCCCTTCTCCTCTCCAAGCCCACAGCTTCTGCCCCAGAGTGAGGAGCAGTTGCAGGGCTAGACTGCTGGTGCATCATGATTTCAATCCCGAGCCAATCTCCTGATCTCAGTTGGCAAAACTTGCAGACCACGAAAAAGTGAGGCATGCAGCAGGACCACACTAGAAGGTGATGGAGGTGAAGTGTCTCACAAGTCCTTTATTCCTCACCACCTGCCCTTGATCACCTGGCCAGTTCTCAGATTTCTTCTACTAGCAACAAAGTTTCAGATACATGTCTGGAAGAGAAGAAAGCCCTACCTTTCTTGGATGTCTATGATGTTGGCACATACACACACAGACATGGAGGCCAGGGTTTGATAGAATGTGCAGTGAGCCATCCTGGCCTACCATGCCCATCACCTGCAGACATCCTGCACAAGGCCAGGCTCTCACAGGGCCTAGAGACCACCTTTATCGAATGTATTCAAATAGCAATGAAGAAAGAAAAATGGCAAGACACGTGTTAAGGAAAAGAGAGAGGAAGAAAGGCAAGAAGGGCAAAGAAGCCAGGGGCAGTGAGCTGTCCAATGTCCTAATGACTTCTGCCAAGCAGAGGACAGTTCTATGAGGGGCATTCAGGACAGGCTTTTCTGGGCACCTGGTGATTCCCCTGGCAGACCATATTCAGAGCAAATGGTCATGATTGCCCACAACAGTGTGGTCATCTCAAAATCAGGGAACAGAGGATCAGGAGGCAAGGCACATCCGGGCAATGGCTAGGTCAAGAAAAGAGCCCAGGCCCACGCCCTTCCCTATACCTTGGTTTCTCCAGCAGCTCTGTTGACTCTTGACCTTCACCTAGACCTTCCAAGAAGCTGAAGGACAGTGAAAAAGAAGTGGACACCTGTGAGCCACACTGCTTATAGGTTGGCTTACTGATAGGACACATGGATGCTGGTCAGCCCAGTGTCAACCCCCACACGGCCACAGGGCACGTGGCACAGCTTCGCCATCATCCTCACAGCTCTCATGATCATGTTTCATGGCCCAGAGCCAAGGGATAAATCTGTACCCACAGCTCACTAGGTACCTAGATCAGAAGGTTGGAACACAAGGCCTGTGACCTGCCCAAGGATGATTTGAAACTAGAGATGAATGTCTCTGCCTCACAGATAGAAACAGCCAAATCAGACAAGAACAAGGACATGGGAATGACAGGAACTAAAACAAAGCCTAGAGTCCCTATCCTGCGATGGAGAGGAGAGCAGAACAGTTCCCCTCCTCCAGTCAATGCTTTTGACCAGAGTTGACTCTGAAGGGTGCTCTCTAAGTGTGGGCTCTCAGGTAGAAATACATCTATAGGGTGTGCGGGTACAAGACCCGCTTCAATCCTGGGCCTCCAAGTCTGAGTCCCCCTGAATCCCTGCTCCTACCCAAATTCTCTGTTTCCTTCACCGGATGATCTGATCAATACAGAATGAGTCAGCACTCATGATGGTTCCTGGCTTCTGGGAATGCCTTGGTACTTGTCCCATGCCTTTTTGCCACTGAGGCCTGGCTCACAATTGCATCCTTGGGGAAGTCTTAGTAGTAACTTCTGTCTATTCCTGGGTATGTGCTGGGGGTGAGGGATCAGGGAGATCCATGACTCCTATTGGAATCTTTCAAGGACTTTTCGTAGGCAGTCGTGAATGTTGGACCCACGTAGAGCAAGAAAGCCTGAGACTTGGTGGTAGTCAGACAGCCTGCAGGTACCGGAACTCTGTTACACACCTTGGTCACACTGACACCACAGATCTAGGACATGACTCTGTTGAAGACTCTGACAGATGCTTTACCAAGTAGAGCTGTGACTCTGAACCAGGATCTAAGTGAGCAAAGCCTTTCCTGTTTTTCTGTGTGGTAGGATTTGCTTGGGCTGAGACCCAAAACTCTTGGTCTAAGAACCCCACGGCTGTACTCTTGTACCGACACTGACATTCTCCACTGTCAAACTTGAATACATTCTTGACCTCTGTCAAATCAACTGCTGGTCAGATCTGTTCCATAGGCCATATTTTCAGACAACCAAGCATTTGGCACATGATGCCATCCAGGACATTAACATAGGAACATGTAAATGGTATTGTCAAGAGGGGTTGATATGGGCATAGGTTCTTCCATCTACATGAAGAGTTTGAAGGCTGCAGCGGCCCAGGTCTCCTAGGGGTATGGGATAAAGGTGAGGAGTTATAGGCTGGCCCACCACCCTCTTCACTGAGTCTCTAGCCCTGAGTCTAGCCCCTTTCGGAGACCTATAGTACCAGAAGGCAATAGTTATGAACAGGTCCAGCCCTACTGGACTCCCCACATCACAGACTGCCCTTTCCACTAAATGAAAAGAGGGGAGCCAATCTTAAATTCAAGTCTAACGTATTGAAACTCAGAAGTAAAGTTCACCATTCTCTTTTACCCTGCTAGACTGAAACATTAAAATGGAGAAAAGTTTTTCTCTTTCAAATGTCTCTTCAAGCTAAAGTGCTCAAAAATCATATTGTGTTTTTCAAAGAAAAGCAGGCTGACTCATACAATAAAAACCTACTGGAGGGCAAGATGCAGTGGCTTATGCCTGTAATCCCAGCACTTCGGGAGGCTGAGGCAGGCAGATCACCTGAGGTCTGGAGTTCAAGACCAGCCTGACCAACATGACGAAACCCCATCTCTACTAAAAATACAAAAATTAGCTGGGTGTGGTGGTAGGTGCCTGTAATCCCAACTACTTTGGAGGCTGAGGCAGGAGAATTGCTTGAACCCGGGGGACAGAGGCTGCAGTCAGCTGGGATCATGCCATTGCATTCCAGCCTGGGCAACAGAGCAAGACTCCATCTCAAAAAAAGAAAAAAATAAAACCTACTGGAAACATATTTTTCTAGAGTATATTATCATAAGAATAACTTCCAATAATCTCTATTTTCTAAATTTATCCTAAAATCTATATGACTATCAAGATTCTACAAAAAAAAAAAAAAAAAAAAAAAAAAAAACTTGTGTAAAAAACTCTACCATAAATATAAATATAGAGGGAGAACAGAAAGACATTTTGAGGATCAAATATGAAAACTCATGACTGAAGACCACTGTGTGGTTTCAGAATTTGGAGGACAGAGGTCCCATGGAGGTTGAATGAAACTGAGAGATAACACACAACCATTTTCTAAATTAGAATGTCCAGGGGAAAAAACAGGCTATGGCAGATGCAAAGGAGGAGAACCCTACTTTTGGGACGAAGAAGCCTGGCACGAGTGCAACAAGCCTTCTTGAAGGAGGTAGCAGAAGAAGATAGCTTCTTGCCAGAAACTCCCTATTAAGACTCAGTAACATCTTATTGGGGAAAAGGAAAGAGGAAAGAAAAAGTGAAGGTAATAGAGACAGAGGAGGGGGAGTGAGGAGAGGGTTAGTAAGGGAAGTGTCTGAGTAGAAGGGCCAGAGACTCTGCTATCTCTGAGAAAGTACCACTTCATGGCCAGGTATCAGGGCAGAAACCCTAATCTCAACCACATGCTCCACTGGGATGATCAAGTCCATGAAGATACATGTGCAGAAGCTGGAGCTGAATGGCTCTTTCCCTTCTTCTTTGTCCTAGGTCCGCAACTTCCTGTCTGGTGATAATGATGTTTCCTTCAACCTCCTGAGCTCTCAGCCAGTCATTGGGAGCTTGACACCTGATTAACAGAATCTGCCACGGCCTAGAAAAAAATGGTTCCTTCCAGCTGTCATGTCAGATCAGGAAATAGCTCTCGGGAATTCTCCAACTCTTTATTTCATGGCTCATCAGGTCATTGGCTTCAGAACTTTCTACCACATGCTGTAAGTCAAGACCTACCTTGACAGGTAGCACCCCCACACACTCCACTTCTTTTAGACTGATGTAATTTAATCATTTCATTTTCTCTCTCCTCAAGATGTCAATCTGCTCCTTCCATGGAGGCTTCTAGATGCTCTTGTGTTGACCTCTTAGTGAGCTTTCTTCTTTTCTTTGGTAATAGTGACGTGAAATTGGTTCTTTCTCTTTCTCTTGAATATTGAAATGGGCATGTGACCTGACAGCATCCTTCAATCTTTTCCTGGATCCTTCTGCCTTCTTAGGAATATGATCACCATTCCTTGGTTCTCCTAATCCCAATTTCTCACTCAAGTCCTTTTCTCAGGGACAAGCTGCCGCTTCATTGATCTTGAGTCTGTCTTCCTGCCAAGACATGGCCTGATTCTTCATAGAAGACATAAATGTCGCTCTGGTCAGCTTGAATCTTTTTTCAGTTTCTCCTGTTAGTTTGAAGTGTGCTTTAGCTTCTTGCATGTATGGCTCAATGGCTTTTTGTGCCTGGTGTAAAGACTGCATCTTTCTTGCTGTCTCAGACATCAGCCGTTTTTGTTCTGAACAATGAGGGTTTACTTTTCCTGTGTCTCACCACAATGCATATGAAGTTCCTCTTCACAGGCTTGAACCCATCCAAGTCATCAGTTACTTCTGACTCTTCCTTTTCCTCCACCCCAGGATGAAACTTGCCAAGATCATTACATTTGACTACTGCTAGTGCTAAATTGCTACTGGCAGGTCCCTTGTCTCTTGATCAAGAAAGACTTCTTTGAATTACTAAACAATTTTGCCTACAAACAAGAGAACTAGGAATACCTGGACTATCAAAATACACTCTTCCATCTCCCACTGATATACAGGGACAGTGAGATTTGCTCTCACATCATCAGGGACTTCTGCGATGAAATCCTCCAGTGTCTCATGGGTTGGACAAGAGTACACATCCCAGCAGAATGAAGCTTCTCCATAGTGGCCCAGTCTGATGCAGAGGTACCTAGGGCCACCCCGGCCAGTAGGCCCACACCACACCATGAAAATGATGCTTCTGGTTTTCACTCAGAATCAAACCTGCACTGGGCAACCAGGGCAAACCATGTCTGCTGAGGGTGGGTGGGCAGGCCCAAAGCAATCAAGAACTCTCATATCCTCCCTCATATCCTTGGCTCTTTCTTTCATTACTTCAACTTCTTTATCTGGAGCTTAACAAGGACTCTAATATATTATGCACACTGTTTACTCAGTCTGGAAAGCTGCTCATAACATTTGTCCTATGTGGGGCACATCCCTGTCTTGTGACCACAGTTCTCTCACTCCAGCGACTCCAGTGGCCTCGGTTGGGCCTGGCCGTGATGAGCTGCACAGTACTCCATGCGTATTTGTGGACGGAATCGGTGAACAAGCATTAGAATCAATGGAAGAAGGCCAGAGTTATCCCTTGCCTTCTCTGGAAAGTCACACCTAATTCTCTGCAGACCCAGCAAACAGTTTACTAGAAAAATTGCATTCCAGTGGAGGCAAACAGAGTAACGTATTTGAAAAGCATGAACTAATGGTGAACATCAGAAAACCACAAGCAACTGCTGCTTCTCTACTAATTATAGCTTTAGCCCTCTTTGGTCCTCTCCAGTTCTAGGAAAAGAAAATGGCATTCAATCCTATTATCCCTGCTTCCTGGCAGCACCCAGACCAGATCAGACTTACACTTTCTTCACTGCCCACCTAACCAAAATCACAAAGCACAAGCCCAAATTCCATACAAGTTCCCTCCTAACTAACTATGACTGTGTGGTCCCGTGGTTCCTCCTGTGGTATAGTCTGCCTTGATGCAAGTACCAGGAAAATAAACTTTGCTTCATGACAGGTGTGTTCACAACTGAAGGTGTTTGATTGATGGTCCCATTTTCACTGTCTTTATCTTCCTCACAACATTTCTGGGGAAGCAGCATGGAGCTAGAAAACCTATTTTATGCCAGTACAAGTGGTTTGTTCAAATTTACATAGATACCAAATTCACAGTTATGAATCAAAATCTCTCAATCTCCAGCTGTTTCTTCAAGATGGGCCAGTCCATGAAGGCTGCATCCCAGAGAAAAAGGAAGTAGAGATAATTGCAGCTGAGACCAGCAGACTCAGAATGGAGTGGGGACCATGAAAATCCTGCAAGAAAGGGTTGTGGGAGGGGAGCAGAAACAGGCCAGGTTGTGAAAAATGGGCCATAGGATGAACAGGTAATCATCTTGTAGGTTGGAGAGGCAACTGATTCTGTAGGGAGGTGGATAAGTTATATGGGGTGGATGTCTGGGAGGAAGAAGCAGTGGGCAAGGTTTAAGGTCCTAGAAGCCCTGACAATGACTATAGGGGTGGTGTGAAGGTGCTCAGAGAAGATAAATGACAACGAGTTAGCAGAGTCTGTTTGTTGTAATTGTTAGGAGCTCACCATTGTGACTATGAGCATTCAGATGACCATTGCTCAGCATTTTAATAATTACAGCACCAGAAGTCAACATTTTCTGGAAAGAAATTGGTACTTGCTTCTTGAAATGCAAAGTTCACAATTGCTTGGTGGGGGCTTTTGGGTTAGAGGTACTAACAAGATGGAAAAGAGTTTTGTGCTCTTAGGCCTGTTGGGTGGGGTGGGTTGCCCTGGTCTGAGGATAGCAGGAGGGCCAGGTCAGTATATGCTGAATGGGTCAAGGTGGGAGGGAAGGATGGGGTTGAGAAAGTTTATTTCTACCCTTGGCCATCAGAGAGCAGGGCTCCTCTCTTTGGCCCTGATTGGTGGGGAGCATTCTCCAGATTGTTTTCAGGAGTCCTCACTAGATGGCTCTGGGACTCAGAAGCCTGGGAGGAGTCTCCATCTTTCAGACAGAGTTGCAAATGCTGAACCAGTCATGGCTTCTCAATTGGACCGGAATTCCTTCTGTGTGTGTTATTTAGATCCCCATGTCATTAATAGGGAAACTGAAGCTATGACAAATAAGGTTAGGGTTAGGGCTAGGGTCAGCTCTAAAAAGGAATAAGATCATGTCCTTTGCAGGGACATGAATGGAGCTGAAAGCCATTATCCACAGCAAACTAACACAGGAACAGAAAAACAAACACCACATGTTCTCACTCATAAGAGGGAACTGAACAACAAGAACACATCGACACAGGAAGGGGAACAACACACACTGGGGCCTGTCAAGGGGGTGGGAAGAGGGAGAGCATCAGGATAAATAGCTAATGCATGCAGTGCTTAATACCTAGGCGATGGGTTGATAGGTGCAGCAAATCACCATGGCACATGTTTACCTATGTAGCAAACCTGCACATTCTCTCTATGTATTCTGGAACTTAAAATTAAATTAAATAATAGTATTAAAAAAAAAAAGAGTAGACTTTCAAAGTTATTCTAAGAGGAGAAAAAAAAGAAAGTGGGAGTCTGATCTGGTGTGGGTGCTGTCAGGGAATAGGAGTAATACTACTGGATGTGCTAAAGAAAATTTCAGCTGAATTAAATTCAAAGGAGTTTAATTGCGCAATGAATGATTCATGAATGGAGCAGCCCCCAGAAACACAGCAGATTCAGAGATTCTGGGAATGCCTCATGGTTAGAACAAATTTAATGACAAAAAAAGGAAGTGTTGTACAGAAATCAGAATTAAGGTACAGACACAGCTGGACTGGTTACAGGTTGGCATTCTCCTTATATGATCAGCATTTGAACACTCAGCAGTGTATGAGTGGTTTAAGTAAGGCTGCTGGGACTGACCAAGACTCAGCTGTTGTTACAGGTGCATATTCCTAAGCTTGGTTTTCAATCTCATATACCTCTCAAGTTAGGTTACAGTTTGTCCACAGGGACTCAAATACAGAAGTACAGAGTCCTTCTCAGGCCATTTTGTTTTTTTTTTTTTGAGACGGAGTCTCGCTCTGTCGCCCAGGCTGGAGTGCAGTGGCCGGATCTCAGCTCACTGCAAGCTCCGCGTCCCGGGTTTACGCCATTCTCCTGCCTCAGCCTCCCGAGTAGCTAGGACTACAGGCGCCCGCCACCTTGCCCGGCTAGTTTTTTGTATTTTTTTAGTAGAGACGGGGTTTCACCGTGTTAGCCAGGATGGTCTCGATCTCCTGACCTCATGATCCGCCCGTCTCGGCCTCCCAAAGTGCTGGGATTACAGGCTTGAGCCACCGCGCCCGGCCCTCAGGCCATTTTTAGTTTGCTTTAACAGATGTCAACTTTTTTTCTAGAACTGGGGAAGAACAGAGAGGACTAAAGCTGTATTTGACAAAGAAGCAGCAGTTGCTCATGACAGCCAGAAGAGGGGCCTCTTGGCCATTTTTGTCTTGTGCATAGCAACCTTTTTTGGATTCTCTAACTAATGTTGAATAGAATAGTGGCAGCTACAGCTGATATCTTTGTCTTGTTTTCAATCACAGAGAGTAGTTTTTTTCTCTTTCACCATTAAAGATCACGTGAGCGCAAGGTTGTTCTTAGACATACTTTATCACGTGGAGGGAAATTTGCTGATTTTTTTTTTTTTAATAATGAATGTGTGATGAGTTCTGAATTGATTTTTCAGAATCCATTGAATTCACTCTCAACTATGCCTCCTTGATTTGTAAAGATGATGGATTTCAAAGTTTAATATTTCAATATTAATTGCATTCTTAAAACAATCTTTTTCCAGGCTTAATCACTGATGTCTGTGGGAAGGTGGGACTGACCAAGTTTCTCCATCGTGACCAGAGGGTGGGACTCCACAGCACACCATGGAACATGAAGGAAATGGTCCCTCTCCCCCTCTCCAGGCCCACACTCCTGCCCCAGGGTGAGGAGCAGAGAGCAGGACACAGAGTTTTCTCCTATGTGCTCCGATACATTCAGTCAACATCACTCACTGACGGCTTCTTCCTGTCCTATGAGTCGCATGTGACAGTTATGACTGACATCCACATCCACATACTGGATGTAGTCTAAATCCCTGTTTTGGGAAGTTTTCTATATTCTTAATCTTTCAGTCACGGTTAGTTTCCTGTTTTATTACCGACACATTCTGAACACCTCATCGATTTCTAGAATCCCTAGGTCCACAGAAACCCATACACAGAACACAGCCTTTTCCCTTGAATTACCCACAATCCCTTCAGGAGAGTCGCGGTGGAGTGGGCTAGGTTCCTACTGGCATGACCAAGACAGTGGCAGAGAGTTCTCAGCTGAGGACCAAATACCAGACACACAGTTTCTTGACGGATGCCGAGGCCCTACCTGTAACTGAGAAATATCCACCAGGACATTTTTCTTCTTATAACCACCCCAGGGATCCCTTTACCCTCAGAGAAGCTTTGAGCACAGAGGCCGATACACACAACCCTCCAGTGTCAGCCTGGTCTGTCCTCCTGCCCAGCCTCCCCTGGAGCTCAGTCCCTGAACATCTCTGAGTCAGCCACATGAAGCTCCATGAAGTTCTCTAGATGGTCTGCCGCATCCTAGTCCCAGAGCACAGACATACTGTATTCCCCCTTGGTGGAAGGCCTTTCTATGCATTTTCCTGTATTTAATTAGTTGCTAATACTGTATTAATAGATGAAACACTCTGAGGAACTCTAAAAACATTTCAGGAGCCCAAGGCCTTCCTGATAAAGGCCCATAAACCTTGTCTTCAGTATTCTTTGAAGTTGAAGCAACATCTCCTGAGGTCTGGTTTTTCAGTTTGATGGGGGCCATGGCACTGGATTCAAATTCTAAAAGTTCTGAATATCCAACAACGTATGAGACTGTTGAAACTTCAGTTTAAAGTGAGGACACCTGGACAACTCTCCCAAAAAATGGGATAAGGAAGGAGGTCACAACACAGCCCACCTTGCTCCCTCAGGGCGTCCTGTGGCACAGGGTGAGCCTTGGGTGCTGGAGTCATGGCCCTCAGTGAGGAGGCTTGCTCTCATCCTTGTCAGTAGGTTGTGGAACTGCAGCCCTCAAGAGGCCGAGTGACCTGGGTAGTGAGTCTACCAGTGATGCCCTGGGACAATGGGTTTTAGAGCATTGTTGTCCAATAGAAATATGGAGTTAGAAACACATCTAATTTTAAATTTTCTAGCAGCCGCATTAAAAGGGTGAAAATAAGTAAAATTAATTTAAATAAAATTTAACCCAGCATATTCAAAATATTATTTCAACATGTAATCATGTAAACGCATTATTCACCTAATTCAGTTCAGCCATTTGTTTCTCATGAAATCTTTAAAATCCAATGTACATTTGCATGCAGAGCACGTCTTGATTTGGAGTAAGCCTATTTCAAGTATTCACATGTGGCTAGCAGTTTTCTATTTGGGCAGCGAACATCTAGGGGTCAATCTCTGTTTATCCCACAATCAGGGAATGTGATTATTAATTTTTCACATCAACTTGGTCTAGCTATACTATCCAGCTATTGAATCCAACACTGACCTAGGTGCTGCTGTGAAAGTACTTCGTAGATATGGTTAGCATCCACAATTAATTGATGTTAGGTAAAGGAGATGACCCTCCATCATGCGGTGAGACCCCATCTGACAGTTGAGGCTTGAAGAGGAAAAATAGGTTTCCTGGAGAAGGAGAAACTCTGCTTCAAGGCTGCAGTAACTGTGACCTGAATTTCCAGCCCACCAGCCATACAGATGGCAGACTTGCCAGCCCTCACTGGCACTTGAGCCACTTCACACATACACACAATTATTTGTCTGTTTCTCTTTAGCACCTTAATCGATACAGGGAGCATCCACAACAGTGACTGAGACTACACTTGATGGCTTTCCTGAGAACTTGTAAATCACACACATATTTTTGAATCCTGAGGGAAAGATGTGTCTAGCTACTAAACTGCCAATAAGGAGACTAG